AGGGAAAAAGAAATCAAACTCATATACAAGTAGTGATTACAGTGAATGACCCATGGGCACTAAGCCAGCTGTGGAACTGATGAACAAGGAAAAAGTACTTGGAGGTCTAGGTGGCACTAAAAATTTGTCAGAGGCAGGGAGAGGTGGTATATGTCGGTGACTCAGGCTGAGGCAAGAATTGCAAGATTGAGGCCAGTTTGGGCAATTTAGCAAGACCTTGAGTCAAAATAAAAAATTAAAATGTTCTGGGGATATAGCTTAGTGGTAGAGCTTCCCTGGGTTCAACACCCAGTACCCACCCCTGCACCCCTCAAAAAATTGTCAGATAGGCTACCAGCAGGAGTGGGCTGAAAGAGAGGAAGTAAGAATTAGAGAAGAGTAAGCTTGAAATTCTTATTTGAACAGCTTGAAATTACTGGCAATGACAAATTCTAAGGTGACCTGGAGTGAGTGGCTGAAATGGGATTGAGATAAGGGGACAAGCACCTGAAAGGTAAGTATACCTCAACATCAATAACAGTAGAAAAACATTCACAAGTATTAAAAGTCATGAAAAGATATATATGGTTGAATGAAACACTTATGTTACAAAACAGCATGTGTAGTTTTGATCACTTTATGTGGAAATGTCCTGTGTGTGTATTCAAAAAAATGGTGATTTTTTTTTAGGTAGAATTTATGACCATTTTTACTGTCTATATTATGTTTTCTAAACTATTTGAATTGTATATGAGGACCACTTACCCCCCTAATGGTTAGCTACTGCTTGTTAAGAGTCTTTGCTCCTCCTATTCTACTTGGAACATTTCTTACTCCTTCAAGTCTCTGCTCAAATGTCTCCCATTAGAAAGGCCTTCCTTTGCCACAGTCGTTCAATAAAAGAACCAAAACTCTGTTTTCAAGCTGTGTCCTTTTCCCCTGCTTTGGTTTCTGAGATGTAACATCTAATATACTTCAACTTTCTTTCTTTCTTGTTTACTGTCTGACTTCTCTCTTTCTGCAGTACAAAGCATATCCCACCAAGGGTAGGACTTTGTTTTTGCTCTGAACTGTAAGGTCAGTACTGGGAACAGTGACGATTACATAACACTCTATTAATAAGTGTTAAATGGGTGAAATAACTCTGTGTATGTATATTTACTTTGATTAAAGGTGATAATGATTAACTTATAAACACTTCAAGTTTTGTCTGTGGCCACTCAAACAGAACAATTTTACTTACATTTAATGTTATTTTTTTCATTGTATTTTATTTAAATACTCATAGATTTAATCAAAATCTTAATGGGGAGAGTAGGCATATTTTTCTCTTCTAAATCCATGATTACTGTTGAATTAAGAAGTTTGTTCCTAGCCTGCTAAAAACCTGTTGCTCATATTTTGTTACCAGTTTCATGGAAATTTAAGGCAGAACACAGAAATTTCAAAATGAAAAAAAGTTGTGAATTTCCTCATGTTTTAGAATACAGTTTCTGTGGGCGAAGGGAGGGTTTAGAGTGTCTCTCTGCTTGACACAAGAGGTACAAACCTGGTGTGTTCTGTGGACTTATGACTGGAAACTAGGAAAAAGACACATCACTTTACTGATAAACTAGGGTGCTTCAATTTCATGTGCTGCTGATCTTTTTTAGGATATAGGAGAGAACATCAAAAAAAGTTTTCTAAAAAAAAAAAAAATCTCAAGTTTGCATTTACCTGTTTGTTTCTCAGGGGCTGAACCACTTCCCGAACACACAGCTCCAAATCATTGAGATAATCCTTTTCTGTCTGTATTAACTCCTTGATGATTTTTGCCCGCTTTGCCATCATCTTCCTTCTCTGATGCTCCTCTTCTGGGGTTGGCATCTCAGTTGCAGAACACTCAGCCTGTGGAGTCATCTTTTCTGTTAAATGAAAACATGTACACATGAGATATTCTGTTGAGGTTTCTTTTGCCTTCATACAAACAATGGAGGATTACTATTAGCAAGGTAAAAGGCTTATGGTATCTTCACAGTGTGTTCCTAGAAGGGTAACCTTAGCTCTCCATAAGGTCAGAATCCTTCAAAACTATGGACGAGGGGAAAGTGAGAATGAACTGCTTCAAACAAGTCATTCAATGATTCACAACTGTCCTGGCTTCTTTAAGATAGCCAATTGCCAGAATCTTGGGCTATAAAAGCTACATTTCAGCCTGAAGGCAGACTATACAAAACACAGTTCAGAGCTTCTGGACATGTTAGCTTTTAAACCAATGGAAGATTTTTCATTAGTAAGTGAAACACTTTCCAATTTTGCTTGTCCCTATTATTATAGTAATAGGGACATCATCAGGTACCCATCATCATCAGTGGGTAATAAAGAAATGAAAAACAATTACATTTTTAAGACCTTTCTTTTTAATTTGTGATCAAACCCACAAGGAATAAGATAGGGGTAGATTGCATGAATTTCAACTAAGATTTTCATGACTCATCTTCATATTATGTTTATCTTGTAACTTCAAAATTTTTAAATTATCAAACTACCTGGCATTTTTAATTCAAAAACAATACAGTACTGAAGCTGGGGATGTGGCTTGGTGGTAAAGCTTGCCTAGCCTGTTTAATTCCCAGCACAGCAGGCAAAAAGAAGACCAATACTGAGGAGATACCGAGATACATGGTATGTCTCAAAAGTTCCAAGATTTTTGTATAAAAAATAAAGATAAGAAAACTAAATATCTCCAAGGACAAGTTTCACAGCAATTTAAAAAATTTGGAAGCCACAAACTATAGACCATGAACTCAAACAGACTACAGACCATGAAATCAGAAAAATCAAAGACATCAAGGCAGTGTGTGTGTGTGTGTGTGTGTGTGTGTGTGTGTGTGTGTGAATGGATTTGTTTCCAGTTTGAATCATAATTTTCATCTTAGTCTCTGTGGTTGCAGAAGTCATTTTATTTCACTTAAGGTCTCTATGATTCTAGTAACTGATAGGTGAGACATCTTTAGTGTGTGTGAAACCACTTTCTGAGAATGTAGATCTTTGCAAAAGGACCTAAAAGAGTCTACACATAAAAAAAACAAAAGGCAGATCACAGTATATACAAGTGGAAGTAAAGAGAGGTGTTTTTTTTGGCTTACTCTAGAAACAAAGCTCTGAAACTGTAGAAACATGAGAGCAGAGTTAGTAGTTCAATTGAAGGAGGCTGCCCCAAGAAAGTGAGCAGGCACTTCAAAACGTAATGAGCCTTCCTCTCTCCCTGGCCCACTAATTTCAGGAGCTTAGGCAAAGGCTCAATAATTAAACATCCATGGAGAATGCCAGAAAGGTAGCTCAAACATCAAGTTGTATTAGATTGTGCTTTGGACAATCCAGACTGGCAGGTGAATATGTTTCTGGACCAATTGCCTGGTATCAGCTCTTCCTTCATTAGGGAAGAAGGTGATTTTGATAAATGGTATCCAAAAGCACATGGTGTTATAAGACTCCAGCCATTCAATGTCAAAGCAATAATTCACATGAGCTATATACAAGAGAGAGCCCATGTAAGGAGAGAGAATGAATGCATGGGGTGTAATGTAGCCTTCACATCTTGTGCTATGTTATGAGAATTCTAGAATGACTGCTAATTTGTACTATTTCTATTAGAAAGTAGGCCTGCCTCTCAGTGCCCCGAATTTGAAAGAATAAGTTATAATCAGTGGGGATATGCAGTGAGCAGAATATGAACAGAACCATTGTGAGCTTCTACAAATTTTTAAAATTATATGTATTTAAGGTATACAACATAATGATTTCACAAATACTTACATGGTGAAATTATTGGGTGGGGGACTGATGGGAGTGATAGGTTCTTTACTCCTGGGATATATGAAATAATATGTTGAAAGGAATCTCACCAATAGGGAGTTCACAAATCAGTATAGAGAGTGTCCAATTATTACTTAACATTACCTTGAAAATAAAAGGACACTATTGAAAAACTGTTCTTTTCCAAGTTATAAACATTTTATACCTTATAAGAATAATCTATCCATTATTTAAGAGCTTAAAAGGTTCTTTCTTTATCTGTGGCAAATAAATATCCCTAAAGCACATTCTCAGATTCAATTACTATGTCAATTTAACTTATTTCACAGATGTTACAGCTGCTGCACCTTAAAACATAACACACCAGATTTTTAAAAATTAAAAACGACTTAGGTTTTCTAATACTACCCAGCAACTTATTCATCATCATGGTGTGGGGGGGGGCAAAGTAGTTGAAATAAAGTGTCAAGTCAAGATACTCAACTTCAAAAATTTCTGCTTTCAGATGTAAAAACCTTGGGGCATTCCAGGTTGAGCAACCTTATGAGATATCTGTGTTTGTTCTTTTGACTAAAGTTTACTGCAGGAACAAAGAATTGACTTGCATCATTTTATGGTCAGATATCTGAACACTTTTTATGTTTGCATTTCTTAAACAAACAAACAGGTGCAATGCATTGTGGACTCCAAGTTCTGTTTTTATAAGATTCTAAGATCCTTCTCTGCCTCTCAAACTTTTTTTAAAAAATCTTTTAACTACACTAAGTTTTACATGTAAAGGTATCTATAACTCTAACACATGTCACCCAAATCTACATTCAGCTCTGACAATCTTTTATTTCTGGATAAACAGAGAAGCTAAGTATTTAGGAAGGAAGCAAAAGTAGAGTTTTAGTAATGAAATTTCCCCCCCAGTAGTTTAAAAGGACTATATTGAAGCCAAAGATAAACTAAGAGGATGCATAAATTGTAACCAGCCTGTAATCCCAGTGGTCTGGCAGGCTGAGGCAGGAGAATGGTAAATTGAACTTAGTGTTCAGTAGGGTTTCCTGTTATTTTGCCCAGCTGTAGGCTAATGTAAAAATTTTAAGGACATTTACATAGTCTAGGCTAAGCTATTATGTTCTATAGGTAAAGTGTATTAATTGCCTATTCTTCTTATATTACTTTCATTTTATAATGAGTTTATTAGGACATAGCCCATCAAATCAAGGAGTATATCTGTACTCTGAAAGTTTTCTATCATCAAAAGCAAACAATTACCCCTGGTTTTAAAATGACCAACTTGTCAAGAAAAATACATGATTCTAAAGCTTTTTTTTTCAGACAGGAAAGAAAGAGGAAAAGAAATAAAGGAAGTGGTTTAAGGAGGAAAGTCAGAATAGTGCTGAGATTTGAAACTCTGAGCAGCTTGCTTGGGTTGATTACACACTGGAGGAGGATCCTGGTCTTTTAGAGAAAAGAAAAAGCACTCAAAGGTAAAGGAGTGATGAGAAAATACTGAAGACAACCTCAGCAACTTAGTGAGGCCCTGTCTCAAAACAAAAAATAGAAAGGACTGGCGGTTTTGCTTAGGATTGATTGTATCCTCATTTTGCTTTGTTGTTATTGTCAATTTGGCTACTGCTATCTGGGGGTGGATTTATGGAGAGACAATTGCTTCCTTTTTTATTGTAAAACAATATGTTTGTTATATATTATTTGTTATATAGATATTTGTTATATATTAGCATATTATAAAGGATAGGTATATAGACTTGGGAGCCAAACCATATGGATTCAAACTCTGCCTCTTTCATTCATTAGATCTTTTACCTTCGACAAGTTATATAACTCTTTATATATAATTCCCTCATCTGTAATTTAAGAATAATGCTAGTAAAACTTGATAAAGTGGTTTTAAATATTAAATGAATTAACATTTAGTAAATTCACTCCTTGCACAGACACAGGCACTGGCGATGATTACAACTTTCTCTATCTGCTTTGGCGGCAGACTGCTTTGTGCAAAGCTACCACCTCTGCCACCAACCTTTCCACCTGGCCACAGTTCAGAATCAACAGTGAGACGATTGTGCAATCAGCTTCCATCTTCAGAGGAAGAACTGTTGAACTTAATCAATAATCTAAGTAATGATGAAAATCTAGACCATCTCCTTGTTCAGCTGCCTCTCCTAGAGCGCAGTGATGAGATAAAGATCAGCAATGCTGGTCCTCCGACAAGGATGTTGATGGCTTTCATGTAACTAATGTAGGGCGAATATGTTTGGACAAATACTGCATGTTACCCACTACCCCAGGAGGTGTGTGGAGATTAATTAAGCAAACTGGTATTCCAATCCTAGGGAAGAACATGGTTGTGGCTGAAAGATCAAAAAATGTTAGAATGTATATTGCAATGTTACTACACAGAGATGGGGCTCATGAATGACCTGGAGGCGATGCCATCTTTCCAGTATGTATCTCATTGATACACTCCCAAAGAACAATTGAAGAAACACACAATTCTTGCAGATATTGTCATATCTAATGCAGGCATTCCAAGTCTGATCACAGCAGATACGGACAAGGAAGGAACAGCAATCACTGACATGAGAATAAACAGAATTCAGGATCCTATAACTGCTAAACCCAAGTTGGTTGGAGATAAGACTTTGAAGGAGTCAGTAAGAAAGCCAGTTATATTGTTCCTGTCCCTGGGGGTGTTGGTCCCATGACAGTGACTATATTGATGAAGAATACCATTATTGCTACAAAAAAGTACTGAGGCCTGAAGAGTAGGAAATGCTGAAGTCTAAAGAACTTGGAGTAGCCACCAATTAAGTGTTGTGTCTACTGTGCCATGAACAGTGCTTCAAGCCAGTCCACAAAACAATAAAGCAGGCCACTAGAAATGCAATATTTTAAATTTATTCTGCTGAAATTGTTTAAAATGATGCTTTGTATTTATTGAAAGCTTAAATGGGTGGCTGTGTGCACACATGGCTCTGTAGTACCTCATCAGGGAATCCTCCAGTGTCCCGCTAATATCTCTAGCCAAGAAAAATCATTAACCTAGTAATTAACATGGGAGACCTTGTCTCATTGAGAATGGAAACTTAATTTT